TTCGCTTCGACAAGCCCCCCCTTTCAACTAATGTTATGCATCTTTATTCTTCTTAATATAAAAGATTTTTATTAAAAATAACGAAAAAATGAGATCCCACCTTCCTCTTCATCCTCCTCCTAACCCCCCTACTCTTAAGGAGGCTTGTGTTCTTAACTACGCCTCACGCCTCTAGGTAGTGGAATGCCTCGCATCACGCCTCTGCGTTTTAAAAGATTGTTTATAAATACTTGATTAATGAAGTGAAAATAATATCAATTTGCTCTGCTCACTCCGATACCTGTTCACATGGTATCAGAGCAATAATAGATCTTGTTGTGTTCACCACCATTGTAAGTCTATCCCGATCATCGCTACAAGTATGTTTGATCACTGCTTCTCATGGTGATGGATGAAGCCTTGAATTCAAATGTGATGTAGATGGTAGACCTTGGCTCGCCAAATTTTCTGCATGCTTTCGGACAACCCGAGAATGGCTTTGGTTTCGATTCTGCTCAACGGAGAAAATTAGCCGCTATGGCAATGAGCTATGAGAATCACCCTCCGAGCAAAAACTAAAATCTACTTCATCAATGGATCATTACCCTGAACGGTGATGGCTTTAGCAAAAGAGAATCTCGGGTTAAAATGCAATGCCATGGTTGCATCTTGGATATATAATTCACTGTCAAAAGATATATGTGACAATGTACCTTTTGTTGAATCAACCTTTGAAATATGGAAGGAGCTTAAAGATCGATTTTCTCAAGGTGATATACCTCACATCCACCAATTCAAGAAATATCTTAATGGCCTGCAATAGGGAGAACTCACTGTAATGGCTTACTTCACAAAATTAATGACCTAGTGGGACGAATTGGCAACAGTGACCCGACTACCTGAATGCACATGCGGCATGAAATTCTTCATTGAAGAATGAGAAAAGGAACAAGTACATCAGTTCTTGATGGGGCTTAAAGAATCTTACAACACGGTAAGGGCAAACATCCTGAGTCATGAGCCATTGATGTTGATCAACAAAGTTTATGCCCTGATCCTTCAAGAAGAACGACATCAGTCAATATCTTCCCTCCAAGGTCCAACCTCACTTGAAGCAGCAGTGCTAAATGTGTCTTCACGAAAAAACCAGTGCAATGCCACCACAACTAACTAGCAGTCACGATCAAAGTATCATTGTGGCCATTACAAAAACGGGCACACGAAAGACAGATGCTATGAATTGGTGGGTTACCCACCCAACTGGGACAAGTCACGTTCAAATTGCGCCAAGAGAAAACTCCAATGAATATAGATCATTCAAGCTCAAATGCAGCAACAAATTCTTGTGAAAACGACACCAATTCTCTAATCCCTAGATTCCATCTCCAGTAGTATGCCTAACTGATATCCCTCTTGAACAAAAACTCCTCTAAGACTATTGCAACAAATGTTTCTGGTAAGACTACAATGAACTCAATCCCCACTTGAATAATTGATAGTGATGCCTCATACCACATGATTTCTTCACTCTCATCTTATGATGATGTTTCTCTTCTTAACAAGCCAAAACATATACACTTGCCACATGGCAGCACCATTTCTACTACCCACAAAGGTTCCATTTGCCTAGGATCACACACCATCACTGATGTTTTACATCTTCCTAACTTTACATGTAACCTTCTTTTTGTTAACAAATTAACCCAACAGCTCAACTATGTTGTGGTATTCTTCTCGACATTTTGTGTGATTTAGGACTTAGCCTCGAAGACCATGATTGGGGTGGGGCATCTACATAATAGCCTCTATCAATTCTTTCTTCCATCAAAGAGCTCATCACTTCATGTGGTAGTCTCCAATAATAGTCCCAACATTTGGCACCGTTGACTTGGACACGCTTCTAGATCATGCTTGACTCTCATCTCTGGTATACCAATTCTACCCCCGGGTGTTTGTTGTGATGCTTGTCATCAAGCAAAACAACATCGAATACCATTTCTTATCAGCAACAACAAGTCCACTGTACCCTTCCAACTTGTTCATTACGATATAGGGAGGGTTACAAGACACCATCCCATACCAAAGCACACTATTTTCTTACTATAGTTGACGACTTCACAAAATGTACATGGGTTTACTTACTTCGCAATAAATTAGAAGTTGCCCCTTTTTGCTTATGTTTTTGTGCTATGGTTCAACAACAATTTGGTCACAATGTACAAGTACAATGATTTGACAATGGGCTTGAGTTTTTATCAAAACCCTTGCAAGAATATTTCACTGCTCAAGGCATCATACATCATCGTTCATGTATTGACACCCCACAGCAAAATGAGGTAGCTAAAAGGAAACATCATTGTCTAATTGAAGTGGCCTATGCCCTTTGATTTCAAGCACACCTCCCTATCTCTATTTGGGGTGAGTGCTTAATGACTGCAGTATACATCATCAATTGCTTACCAACCCCTTTACTGTCTGGGCTATCCCCTTATGAAATCCTATTCAAGCATCCTCCTTCATATGATCATTTTCGGGTTTTTAGGTGTCTATGTTATGCTCAAATAAGGCCCCCACCATTTGACAAATTTTCCAGTCGAGTAGTTCGTTGTGCATTTGTAGGATATCTTTTTGGTCAAAAAGGATACCGTTTGTACGATATCCACACTTGTCGCATATTCAAAGCCCAATACGTCACTTTTTATGAGTTTGAATTCCCTTACCAACCCTCCTCCACATCTACCTCAAAACCAGTCCCTTCACCTATCTTTCCACCACCACCAACACTTATACATGAGGCTGCCCATACTCAACACATTGAGAACACAGGAACCCATCGGACTATTAAAACTCCAACTCGACTTCATGACTATGTTTATGACCTACCACCCTCCATGCACTCCTCTAGTACTCATGCTGTCACCTTCCTATCTAATGTTGAATCCATGACATATGCCCAAGCTGCCAAAGACCCACGATGGTGTTAGGCCATGGCTGATGAAATCGTTGCATTGGAAAGAAATCACACTTGGACAATTGTTGATTTGCCTCTCAGTAAAAGAGCCATTGGCTCCAAATGGGTGTACAAGATCAAACAAAAAGTTGATGGCTCCATTGAATGGTTTAAATCTTGTCTAGTAGCCAAAGGCTACACACAAATTGAAGGATTAAACTACCATGATACCTTTGCTCCAGTAGAAAAATTGGTCACAGTTCGTTGCCTTCTTGTCGTTTCTGCCCTCAAAAATTGGGAACTCCACCAATTTGATGTGAACAATGCTTTCTTGCATGGAAAGCTTCATGAGGAAGTGTACACGACGATTCCTCTAGGTTTTGCTTCCAATGGTGATCATTGTTTTTGTAAGTTGCAAAAATCACTATATGGTCTCAAGCAACCTTCTTGCATGTGGTTTCAAAAATTTATAGAGGCTCTTCTCACTATGGGATTCCACCAATCTTCCACTGATTACTCTCTTTTTACATGGTCCTCTGGAAATTCTTTTGTTGCTGCCCTAGTCTATGTTGATGATGTAAGTGTTATTGGCAATGGCTCGACTCATATTGTTTCATTGAAGAAATATATCGATGATCAATTTCGCATTAAAGATCTTGGGCCTCCCAAAAACTTCTTGGGCCTTGAAGTAACTCAATCATCAAATGGCATATTTTTAGGTCAATAAAAGTGCATCAATGACATCCTTACAAATACTGGGATCCAGGATTGCAAGGCATCACCTACACCAATGGAGCCCCATCAGCATTTCGATGATCCTAGCAGCCCATTGCTTGATGACCCAACTCAGTACAGACGGTTAGTGGGTTGTTTAGTTTATCTCACAATTACTCAGCCTGATATATCCTTTGCCGTCAACATTCTCAGCCAGCATGTACATCAACCACACAGAACATTTTGATGCAGCTCTGCAAGTAGTATGGTACCTCAAAAGCATACCTCTCCATGGAATTTTTCTCTCTTCCAATAGTGATCTCATTCTATGAGGATTCAGTGATTCAGATTGGGCCAGTTGTCCCATCACTGACCGATCCACCACTGGCTATCTCACAATGTTGGGCTCTTCCCCACTATCTTGGAAGACAAAGAAACAACCAACCGTATCCCATTCCTCGGCGGAAGCTGAGTATTGTGCCATGGTTAGCACTACAGCAGAACTTGTGTGGCTTCAACGCCTCTTGACTGATTTGATCATCAATTTCTCGTCTCCCACTCAACTATATTGTGATATATTGTGATAGTAAAGCTGCCTTGCACATAGCTGCCAACCCGGTGTTTCATGAGCACACTAAACCCATCGACATTGATTGCCACTTCATTAGGGAGCATATTCAAAATGATTCACTCCAGACATTTCATCTCTCCAGCAACTGTCAACCAGCAGATCTTCTCACTAAGGCCTTGAGTTAAGACAAATTTCACCATCTTCTCTCCAAGTTGGGCATCTCAGTTCTCCATGCTCCAACTTGAAGGGGGATGTTAGTATATAACAAAGCATTCTAGAATTCTTGAACTAATCGAGCATTCTAGGATTCTTGGACAAATTGTCCAACTGGCCCACTTATCTTGCCACTTGTTCAGTCTGTTGAGACAGTTAGCATGTATTTATAAATACTTGATTAACGAAGTGAAAATTATCAATTTGCTCTGCTCACTCCGATACCTGTTCACACTCGTAGATAGTTGCATCAAAGGACAAAAGAAGTCTGCACCATGCGAAATAAGATTTTAGCAAGATGAGTTGAATGGGATATTTGCCCAAAAAGAAACAAGTAGTGGTCCCCGATTTGGACGATGAAGAGAAAGAAATCACCATTTATCATTACAGTTAAAAGTTGGTTGTTGTATTTGGTCTTATGGACAATGTACAGGCCACAGGGGGCTTGTAGTTAAGATTCGCATGTGTAATGGTTGTCATGTTTTTATAAAAATGGCATTTGAAAATATCGTCATCTAAGCCTTATCCCAACTACATGATACATGATTCAGTGTATATAAGGAAGCAGATACGTGATTCTGGAAGAAAATTTTCTCCACTATATTCCATTGGTAACCTATGTGATTACATTTGATCTCTGAAGTTGGTCAAAATGACAATTCATACATTAGCCATTAGGTAAAGATGGATAATATTTTACATGACACATACATAACGAGTGCGGATGCATGGTGGATGATCAATAAGTAGTCTCTCCAGCTGCATCTCCCTACCACTTACCAAAAGCATAGAATTAAGATATTCCATGCAACAGATATGTTCCCCCGTGCTATTTATTCCTGATAAAAAGAAGGCACAAGAATAGAAAGACATTAGTTTTCTGATGTGAAACATCTTTTACTTGGAAACAGGAAAGAGTGAGGGATCTTCTACCATACCTCAGGAGGACTCAGTGATGAAGAACTAGTGTTTGATACCGATGGAGCCTCAGAGTTCCTTGCTTCTGACTTCTCATTTGAATAACTATCAAAAAGAAAAGACCATAAGGTTATTAGGCATATCCAAGAAGATGAATCAGTATAGTTGGATGGAGACTAGAAACATTAATTTTAGAATAGATTTTTCTTTTTTCCTTACATCTATAGATTAAAAATTTAAAATGGCATGGGCATTCAAATAATGCACAAAGTGATCAGAAGGGGAGGACCTGTAATGCAGCAGGTCCAACCAAGGAGATCCTGTATAACCACAGATCTCCCCACCAGACAATGGTAACCATCCAAATGATCAATTTCTTTTGGCCATCATGCAAATATGGCCAACAAACCTGAAGAGGTAATATCAAGTGGTTTAATTCAATAATTTTGCTTTAGGAAATCTTCTACTTTGGAATACCTAGAGCTCAAAATTCTTTGCATTCCAACATGGTATATTGTTAGGAGTTCAAGAGTTAGCAGGTCCTATTACAAACTTTTTTACCGAATATACAAATGTGCAGTCAGATGATTGAAACATTCTTCCGTGGATTTGTTGTTGTATTATCTTTATGGCTGATTCAGACCATCTATCAGACAGGCAAAACACAGGGTTGGCCTCATGTCCAATCCCATGTCCATATCAGCCCTACACCCAACTTCATATTGGCAGTTTGCCTAATCAAGAGTAGCCAGCCATGCTTTGAATTTCCTAATATAAAATGTTGTCAATGAAAGAAACCCTATTTTGAAAGTGTTCATTAAAATAAGAAAGAAAAACTGTTATTTTGAACTTGGTTAGGTCTTTTGGGCCAATTTATCCCCATGAATAAAGGGTAGGAAGAGGAATATGGATACACTTTTGAGCTCCAAAGTAACATTCCTGGGTTACTTACGTTCATTAAATGACCTAGGTAGGAAATATGTTCCCTTATCACTTTCAAACTGATAATAGATCAGCCAATTATTGTCCAAGAAGATTGTTCCATTGCACAGATAATAGACCTATAATGCTGATAGCCTGATACCCAATTGTCTGGAACATGCACTTTGCATGGGGCCACAGTTATTCTCCAACTCAACTGTCCTTGATGGGACGAAAAGTATATGGTGCAATTTAATCTGCAACTGAAGTCTCTTATCTATGAAAGATATATTAGAAACCTCCAACTTCCTAGGTTATGGGGGCATTAAATATGAGCATTTTTTTTAATTTAGGTCACTTCTTTTTTCTAAATTCTAGTATTATGTGTCGATCTCTTTCTTGACAGATTATAAGTTACTTAAAAGTATTAGTATTTTATATTAATTGACATGTGGGTCCATAAGTTTTTCTTAGACCTAAGTTGAAATCTCATAACTTTTATTCAGCACTATAATCAAAACTTATGAGTTTGAGCTCACTTTGGAAAATCTAGAGAGGCTTTCCAATTACCCATCCAATAAAACTGAAATATTTTGAAGAATTTGAAGTTTGAACACTCTCTCTCTTTTTGATCAGCATTTCCCCCTTCTCATTCTATATAGATTAATCTCTATTCTGATGTTTTATGTCTCTCTTCTTTATCCACCCTGCTCCACCAGGACCTTCTCTCCCATCGTCCTACATTACCCCGTCTTATGGGGGGAAAACTGCATTGCATATGTCTCCTGTGAAAAAGCATGAGGACAGTAAACTATCATAGAATTCTACCCAATGGAGAACCCTAGAATTTCTTAACACATGAAAATTGATAACTAGGTTTCAACCAGAGCTGGTTGTTACCAGTACGGAAAACAATAAATAATAAATTTTGGTCTCTTCTAATAGAAATGTAAGTATTCTTCAGATTATCCTAATTCAATACTATCTTTATAATAGAAAATAGCATGTCCTTAGAATGGGTAATCTTCAATAGCTCTGAGTAGATCTGCTATATACTTACGTTGATAATATAGTCACCCAAACAAGCTCCACACAATCCACCCAAAGTAGCCTTTGTTCAACTGGAATCACACCATAAGTAATCAGGTGAGCAAATGGCCAGAGCTTCCATCCTGCCTGTAAAGTAAACCATGTCCAGGAAAAAAAAATGTTAACCATGTAAACAGTACACAGTGAACACCCATATACAAATTAGTGTTGAAAAACTAAATAATCAATTGTACTTACTGTGACTTGAACTAAACAATGAATTGTACTCACTGCCTCATAGCTAAAGAATGCACTCTTATTCCCTCAATCATGACTTGAACTAAGTTTCAAAAATCAAACTTTATAAACTTTGAATTTTACTTGGATTCAATAAGCACCTGACTGCAAGTCCTTCAAGTATATGAAATCATATCATGACACTTAGCCATGATTTTAGTACTTGACCAAATTAACCGAATATTTTGGACAAGCATTTTAGATTTTTCAGGTGATATAAGAGACGAACTATCTATGTCACCCAGATTGAATTGACTAACTCAGAACAAAATAGCTATGTGCATGAAGCTTTAAAACATTAATCTAAACATTGTACCAACTTTTAGGATGTTGTCCTTCATTGGAATGATACCCTACAAAGTGATGGACAAGAAACCACAACAGGAACAAGAGCATATAAGAATAGTGGTGCTAGGCCAGTCTTGGGGCCCATCATTTGGGCCAGTGCTAAAAGGCTCAGACGCTAGGGACTGATCCTATGATAATCCTCAGAACTGTTCTAACATCTTTCTACAATTACACCACATCTCCTTAACAGATGGCTTGGACCAGTCTACCCCTCCCAAGACCTCCAATAGCTTAGACCAACATTGGGGAATGGGCATTTTCTATGGTCAGAGGAGAGGTGGAAAGCAAAATTTCCAACTAGGTTTGATCATCTTAATACATTTCCCATAAGAACTTGAAAAAGAGAAATGGTAAGGAGGGAGAACGGATAATTTTCTTACAGTTAGCATGGGCCAAAACGTCGCCTTCAGTTCACTAAAGATATTGGATGGAGATTCAAATCGCAAGAATCCCAATATTACATAGTAGATGCTGTTCCAGATTGCTGCCCATGCAGTTTGGTCAAATATGACTTTGGCAGGGACCACCCACCAGTCCTGGAAAGGAAAGAGTGCCTGGAAGACAGAGGATTCTGTGTTGGGCTTGAAATAAAATATACTAATAAGCACAATAAATAGCTTTAAGAAACACAACCATGATTTATCACCTCACAGAACTGGTAATAATAATGAGAAAGTGAGCCATGAAGAGAGAACCCAACAAGGCCTGATCTGAACATCCGTGCCCTGTCAAACTCAAAAAGAGGTTTTCCTTCGTAGCACTGCAAATTTATTAGGCCATGATCAGAAGGGGAAAAAGTAAATATAAAAATAAATATAGTTTTCTTTTAAGATGCAGGCGTACTTGTGCAATCCAATCTCCTAGAGAATAGACAACCCCACTGATCATCATTTTGGCTAAAACAGGGTTTGTTTTCAAAGCTTCCTCATAAGCACTCCAGTTGTGTTGAGGCGCATACCTTAGTATCTCATAAAGGGTCCATCCCTAAAGAAATAAGGAAACATGAGTATAAGTAGACAAATCAAGAAACAATCTTGTTATGTCTAATGAGACATGGAGCAAGAAACAAAATTCAGATTCCAGTTATAATTCTTGTGCAATATTAAAAAAAAAAAGAGGTAAAAAAGGAAGGAACTAATTTAAAATTTCAAAGAGGATAAAAAATATTAAAGAAAAACAGAGATAACAAAAAGTAGGCATTTGATGTCAAAATTATGAAAACAAAGCCACAGGGCTTGGAAAGAAATAGAAAAACCATCCACTTCATAGTTAAAGCACCACAAACCGAAGGCAATAAATTGTTATAAACTAAAAACCAGGACAAGAAACATAAATTTTATAGCATAATAAAATGAAGAATAAAAACCACCCATCTGAAAACCTCAAGGCATGAAACGAAACTGGCATAGCCAAAATTACCCATCCAATCCTCGACAAACACGTGAAGTACCCAGAGGGCAACCTCATCACTTCGTAGGCTTCAGGGGGCATCCCTGGTATTTTGTCCCTGGCCTTAATGGCAAGCTCCCCTCGGAGATGTTATGACCTCGGCCAAGTTCTCAGGCTCATTAATGCCAAGGTAATGCTCAGCCATGTGGTCACTATCTTAATGAGCTTGGTCTTTATTGTAATCTGATGTGTGGAACTGTTGCAAGGAACCGGTAACTCAACCATCAATAGGGGCAAGGAGCCACAGGTACCTCTCTTACGCTCTCTAATTCTCATTCTTGCTCTTGCTCTTGTCTCACCTTGGCACTTCGGCTTTTCAATCACCTCAGCTAACTTAACCATCGGAGTTGTCGCCCCTGACGCCCCTGAGACCACATCCTAGGGCCTCAAACGTCTTTTCTGTGCTTGTAGGTGAGGCCTATGACCAGATCACCTTGGTAATTCCCAAGCTACCCCCCTCAATACAATCTCTGGTAGCATCACAAACAATCAAGAGTGCATACGAGAGGAGAACCGGGGGGGGACCAATCCCCAACAAAAAACATATAGGAAGAAAAGTACTTAATCATAATCAAAATCACAAAACAGTTAAAAGCTCTTAAAATGACATCAAAATTTACTAAAATGAGTCATTTCATGATAAAAGTTATTATTTTGATAATTTCCCACAACCATTCACTTCCGAAGTATCTAACACCTCTAGACCAACCAAGAGAAAAGGGCATATTATTATCTTCATATCATCAAAATCACAGGAAAAGAAGATTTCCAAATCATGCAAGCAAACTGGTTAGTGCAAATGCATTTCATGGAAACATCCCATACTATATTACTCAAATACCCAGCTCTTTCTATTTCCCTATTTTTTTGTTTTCTTTTTTTGGTGGGGGATTATTATTATAGGTTTGCCACCAATAAAGTTACCGATGTTCAGTTGATATCTTCCTATTGAAATCATTCGAATGCAATAATCACACAGAAACTTATAAGGCATATAATTGTCTATTTTAAACATCAATAGAAATACAATAAACAAATCCTCTGTAATTACAATGACAAACCAATATGGTAATTCCAATTGAAAATGGTAAATGAGATCACTCACATGCCAGTAATCATGGTCGATGGTAAGCAATTTAGTGATAGCGAAGGTACCGGCAGCAAGGACAATAGTAGCGTTAATTGCTCGGTCGATTAACTTATCAATATCTTCCTCTTCCCCCTTCCTATCCGAAGGTACAGACGAAGAAGAAGAAGAAGAAGAGAACCCCTGAAAATCCCCAGCTCCCTCGAACGATAACCGGCCCTCATTGGCGAACCCACCAACCTGATTCAAACTCTCACCTTCCCTCTCTCTTTCAATTCGAGCAACCACTCCGTCTTGTTGGTCCGTCGAATCACTACTCCGAACTGGAATCACGTCAAGCTCTTCAGCTACAGACAGAACAACCCAATCTGTTCTCTTTCTTCTCAAGAAACCCGAATTTCCCGACTTGTGAGCTTTACAGGAGTTCTGCAAAGACGAACCAGATAGACCCTTTACAGTAAAATTGCACCTAGCTTTCGATTCTCTGGCGGGTTTCGCGACTGGAAGAAATCCCTGGGCTGTAACACTATTTACAGAAGCCATGTTCCGGTTCAGTCGGGAAGAACAAGGCGATTGATAAGACAGAAATCAACCGTTCCAGTTTCTCCAAGTCAGGGATGACTGCAGCGAGAAGCTTTTAAAGGTGGTCAATTAACAAGAGGTAATAGTAAGTAGTAACACGAGACAACGTATTAATATAATTTGTAGTTAATGGCCGTTGATCATCCAACGGACGGGAGATGCCACGTGTTAACAAAAAATTAGATGTCATGCCAAGTAAGCATTTTTATCTCATCGGACGGGAGATATCTGACAGACGAATTGGGCTTTCAGAAAGAAAGCACAAGAGACGAGTCGACTCCGAGTCACAGCCTAGGATATTCTGTTGGACTGTTGCTACATTCATTATTCCATATATTTGGGGGCAGATGAATGCAGTCCACAAAAAGAAAGATTCTTTTTCTCATGTGGTTATTGGTTGTTAGTACGTCAACCACACGACTTCCCATGCCAAACTCTTGGAATTTAATCCATAAAAAAAAAAAAATCTTGTAATTTAATAATACAAAGAAAAATATTGAAATTTTGAGTAATAGAATGGTCCAATAAAAGCCCAGCTTGGGGCAACTGGATCTTAAATTGGACCCTATTGTTGATATGCTTTTGTGCATTGGAGAAAAAAGGACCCTTAATCCGAGGCAAATCCATTTCAAATAAGAGCCATATATATTCCTATCCATAGTCATTATTTTAAAAAGTTTGAGGCCCTGTTTGTTTCGTGGAAATAGGAGTCTGGAATGGGAATCGAAAATAGAATGGGCTATTCTGATTTCAATTGAAGACATTATTAAGACCTGGAACTGGAAGGATTATTAAGACCTTGAACTGGAAGGATTCAAATAAGACCTGGAGTTTTAAATCCATTTTGTAACCTAATAATGAAATTTAAAATTATTATTTATTATATTAATTTTATAAAACTCAGAAAAATAAATAAATAAGAGATATGCAAATAGCCAAATAGAGACGTTTAGCGGCCGTTCCAATTCCATAGCTCTCTCTATAGACTGTGTATCGTGTAATGGCGTCAAACGTCCAGGCTTCACAAAATCTTTTTTATGGCCATGAAGGTTTCTCGAATCTGATTTTTTTTTTATTATTTCCAGTTGTGTAAGGATATTGAACAAGTTGATGGGTTGAAAGCTTGCAGGGAAAATCACAATGCATTGTAATCTCAATTAATGTATCAATTGGAAAGATTCTGTGCTGGGCCCCATTTCATTTATATATGGCTATTACAAGCCCATGGGATATTTGAGTAGATCCAAGGCCCAGGAATTCATTGCGTCAGTGAGGTACACATGGATTTATCGTTGAGAAATGAGAATGAAAACAGCCTGAGAAGTGAGAAAGCAGAAAACTTCAGGTGGGTCCTTACTCCTTACTAGTCCTATGAAGCCACGGAAAGCCATCCAATTCCAAGCCCACCGAATATCCACGATTTATGGGCCCGTGGGTTGCGGGTTGCCCTTACAGAACGTTAACGTTAAAATATGGGATAGCCGGTATGGACCGTATTGTTGCGTATCATGCAAGTGAAAATTATTTTAAGGGCCTGTTTGATTTGTAAGAATAGGGGTCTGGAATCTGAATTTAAGTAGGTCATTTTGATTTTAATTGTTTGTTGGGCAGAATCAGAATTCCATTTCTATTTCTGATAAGATGGCATTTTTATTTGAGTGAATGGCTATTCCCTCCCCCTCTTTTGAAAATGAAATCCCATTCCAACTAATTTCAATTCTTACTCGAATTCCTATCTAAAACAAACAGATCATGAGAATGGATCCAAAATATTGAAATCTCTTAACCTTGATTGAACCTTGATTCTACACAAAAAATTCAAGCCTCCCCGGAGAGATCATTTTTCTGCTGAACGTGGAATTTCAAGTTTGTCCTTTGTTTAGATTTTTGAGGTGGTTACGTACCGCTTGTCACGGTAGAAAATTAGAAATGGAATGTCTAAGAGCTCTGGACTGGACTGTAGTCTCTAGCCATTGACTTAGGCCCACTGGCCTCACAGCATATTCCTTGGGCCCATGATACAGCGTGAACCTCCCTGCATTTCCTCTGTGGTAGAGATGCCACGATAACCAATGTAGCCGAAGTTCACCGGCCGTGTCATCCTTGAATTTCACATCTCTAAGTCAACATTTTCTGCATATATTTAAAAGAGCCTAAAAGAAAAAATAAATGATTTTGTTAGATTTTTTTAGCATGTGTTGGCAATCGTCAGTGGTTACCTTCGAGTTTCGAATATGCTGACCTGTTGATCACTTTCACCCAACCACACATTGGAAATATCGATTTGAAACCAATGTTCATGATGTGCGACGGCCAGTAGTGTGCTGGGCCATTGGGAATATCGTCACCTTCTACATTCTTCTGTTTTGTGTAATGAAAATAGAATAAAACGTATTACATTTAACAAATTCCTAGTCAATTTTGAAAGGCAAATACGATATACCCAAATACCAAAGAATAAAAAGCCTAGTTACTCTCATCAAACATCTCATAGAATGGATTAAAATTATAAAAAGAACAAACTGAAAGATTAAAAATAAGAACAGGATATGATAAGTTTACTGTTATTAATCAAAGGGAAAATTTCTTAAATTATCTTTATCGTTTAATTAATTGTATCTTGTAAATTTTTTAAACTACCTAATTGACTAATTCTATTTACATATTATCTTAAAATATCTTTCTCATAATTGACATCATCAATAAATGCTAACCGAAGAATTTGAAATGCCAAAATTATCCTCCACACTCATGGATGCATTAAGAACATCTTCCTGTGAATAATAACTTATAAGTACGGAAGATGTTCCTACTAGGATGTTCGTGTGAAGTCGGTGTGAGGAGCAGATCCGGTCTTTCCCCCTGACAAGACCATCCACACCGGACTCTCTCACCCCAACGTGCGCGTCTCTAAAATATATTGAAAATACTAAAAGGAAAATATTTAATGAAAAAACTGAAAAAAGCATGAAGAGAGACCACCACTACCGCCACTGTCACCATTCCTACGAAAAATGTTTAATGCCTTGTCTCCCTCTGAAAACCTTTTCAAAATTTCTGTAGGTATTCCATTTTCACGTTTTTTATTGACACCAGCCAAAACTGAGAAACGACGGCATCTGGATCCTTGAACATTGCGGCATCTGGATTCTTGAGCATTACAAAATCGTATCCCTTGAATTTTCAGATGTTCTTATTGGTGATCACCTGTAACGGATAACACTGTTATCTGTGGATTAGGAGATTACTAATCTTATCTCCTTGTAGTTGTTATCTGCTTGTAACACTGTTATCTGGGTTTTCTTTCAGGTACAATAAGACGAGGTTCATTTTCCCATCTTCCTTTTCCTTCTGGAAAATGTTGAAGCAGCCATAACAGATCAAATGAGAGACAAGAAACAAAGAAAAACATTCATAAAGATCGAAGTGGTTTAAAATATTTACCTTGTAGCTCTGTATTTCATTCAGCAAACGACTTGAGATCATCAGCAACTCTGTGAGATATGGAGTTGGGCACCTCATCAGGTGTTTTAGTAGGGCTGGAGCCATGAAACATGAGGCTGGAAGAACCAGCGCATGCACAGCTACAGATATAATGGCAGTTTCCAGGTAGTCACAGATGGGAGGGGCGTATCTGCTCTTTGCTCCACTTGGCTTCAGTCAACCATGAATCAAATGTTTGATACCACTTCCATACATAATTAACAGGCGCGTTAACTGTTAAACAAATTAAGTTGTATAAACTAACTAATAAACTACGTACGTACGTGCATGTTCGATCATAAATGAAATATGAATCTGAAGATTTGATGAGATTATATTTATGGAAGCAGCTTACAATTTGTCGAAGATAGTTTAGTATGATGCTACCCCTCTGTCGATCGGCATATTTGGCCGCAACCTCGTTAACGAGATTGTCAAGAGCATCGAAGATAACTCTACCATGTCCTCTCAAACTTCTACCTTCCCATCTATATGTCATTAAACAGTGGAAGGGTTTCAAGATAATTAAAGAAAGACCTAGTTTCTTTTAGTTTAATTTCATCTTAAATCTTATATATGTTTGTTTGTAGAGAAAATTGAAAAACTAGTACCTCTGAACACTGCTTCAGTTAGAGTTTCTAACTCATCCAATGAACCTTCCATGTCAAAGAAATCATCAGCTACTGTAACGATCACCGCACTCTTTGCAATTACCATTCTTACATCGGAATCTAGAGGAACCGAGGAGTTACTAGCAATTGCGTAGCAACAGTATGTAGTTTTCTCTCGACCAAATCCAATGGTACTAAGGCTCCACTCCTTGGACCAACTGTTTTAATAAGCCATGAGAGATGAGACCACACAAGAGCAACACAAAAAGGATAATGGATTAATCATGCTAGCTAGCTAGAAGCAAAATTCATGGTTGCATGGTGTACCTTTGCAACTCCTCCAATGCATTTCTGTAGATTGATTGCCAAAGTTGGAAGTTCTTTGCAGCAAGTTGCAGTAGCTCACGGTTGAAACGGTGTGATAGCCTTATCATTTATACAAGATTAATGGTTATTTAGTTAAAACGTAAAGAGAACAAATTAATCTACATGTTTGGAATTTGAAAAAAAAAAGTAGGGTTCTTACTCAGAGTTCTTCATACCTGTGGAAGGAAGACTTCGCCATCGACAGAGTGTTGGTTGCATTTTCTTCAATGCACAGTCTATGCTCTAGACGATCCATTCGGGTAAGCCATGGAATACTCAACTCATGTTCAATCTATTGGGGAGGATGTAATCGATTTAAAGGATTCAGCCTTGGAGCTTAATATAAGAAGTTGCATTGGTTATATCTCTATGGTGGTATTTATCAAAAGGGCCGGAAAGACATCATACCTGGGAAAGCTCTTCCAGTATTATATCTTTCCGGCAGAATAGATTTTCCCAATATTCTAACCATCAGATTTAGCTATTTGTTTCAGAGTAATTCCATAATCTCCAGCAAATTCACAGTCCCCCCGGTGTCCTTGAAAGAATGGATATAGTTGCAATCATCGTCGTTTATCTTTATTATGCATGTTCA